TCTCTCTCTCTCTCTCTCTCTCTCTTTCTCTCTTTCTCTCTTTTTTCCAAAAAGAAAGTAACAGTACTTCAATTTTTCTTTTAAAGCAAAAGATTATTTGCATGCATCCTGTTTGGAGATAATATGGGTATGGTGATCATATATGTAAATTTGTCTGGAGTAGACTTATTTAATGCCTGCTGTCTGTTTAGGTTTAACATTAGACACAATTTATCCTGAATTATTGACTCTTAGCACAAGGGTACCAAGGGGATCTGTTGGCTTCAGAAATTACCCTCTTTCGTGCTGTATTCAGTATCTTTCACAACTTTGTGGGTCCCTCAGAACGTTTTTATTAGATGAATGAAGAGACGGTTGTTAAATGTTTAAGGCGAAGACAGTTTTGATCAACAAAGGTTAACTGTGCTTTCCATAGTAGAGTGCCTAAAGTGACAGAGAAAAAAGAAAATGTGATTAGGCTGCCTGTTACCTGTTTTCTCATTTTTTAAGGGATATCTTTGATGTTAGATGTATCTTTGCTTGAATCACAGTCTTTTTGGTCAGGTGTGGGAGGGAGATGAGCAACATTATGTTAAATGTTAGTATTTTAAAAAGAAGACTGTTTCAAATACATGTTCCAGAGGTGGGGTGGGAGGAAGAATGTGCTTCTAATAATTGAAATAAAGTCTAGCCAGTTATTGTGATAAACATTTATACATAACTCATCTCATATAACTCTCACAATCCTGTGAGACAGACATTATTACCTCATTTGACTGATGAGAGAAGAGATTAATTAAATCATGTGATTAAAGGCACACAGTTAGGTGTTGGTCTTATTTGGTTTCAGATTGGTCATATGCACACTACCTAGAGAGATTGCCTTTCTATGATTGTGCTATTTTTTCAAATGTGAAGTGAAATTTTCATAATTGACAAGAATATCTTTAATACTTTTTTTTTGAGGAAGAAATAGCAGTTTTTAGTATTAATAAATGAGAATTACTTTCCTAAATAATCAGAAAATGAGGATGTTTGTAATAAAAATCTGTTAATGATATTTTGCTTTTACTATGTGTACCTTTATTGGTCATAAAATGGTAGCGTTCTAGTTAATTACAGGTAGAACTAACCATAGACAGCTATGTGCTGCTTTTTGACCATCCACAGTTGGCCCTGTGTATGAGATGAGGGGCCTGGCACAGTGGTTTTGAAAGCGTCGTTCACGGAAGGTCTCTGAGGCTCTGAGTTCCCCACGTAGCTCCACCGTTTACCCTTGTCCTGAGCCTCAGTGCTACACAAGCTCCTTCATAAAAGAAAGCACAGTACATTGAGAAGCTAATCGAATTTTAGTAAAAATGTTAAATTGTATACATTTTTACTACAGATAGCATGCAGTAGATGAACAGCTGAATGTGAAAGCTTGTGTTACGGATTTCTTATGCAATCAACTTTTGTTGCCTGTGCATCAGTAAAGAGGAATGGAAAATCACCTGGAATATGGAACTGTTTTAGATATCTTAAACTTGTATTTATGCAAGTGCAATTCTATTTGTATTACTTTTTCACCTTGTTAGCCTTACTTGTTGTGGAAAAAGTTATATACAAATATAATCTAATAGATGTATTTCTGAAAAATGAAGCACAGATCCAGGCTTGGTAAATTGGATCATGCTTCCTTAGTGACATAATTCTAGGGTGTTTTTCTTTGTTTCATTTACTCTTCACTTGGCAGTGAAACCTTTTAAAAAACTTTTTTAAAAAAGAATGCTTTCATACAGAGTTTTTAATAATGCAAATTATTTTTTTAAATTTGCTGTTTTTAAAATGAGGCTTTCTTTACTAAGGATATATAGTTTTATACTTAGTGGAATTAAGAATCTAGGGAACTTGTGTCTGATTGGTTTATTTGGTGACTGAAGAATAAATCCCATGAAATACAGGATTTTAAAATTCAAGCACATAGCTCTATTTATTTTTAGTCTAATTTGTATAGCATTGGGCTTTCATTAAAGTATGTTCTATAAATGGTGGTGATTAAGAGATAAATTTAAAAATCAAGCTATGCAGGTATTATTTTGTGATGCCCACACTTAACACCAGTGTCTACAATTCAGAATCAAATATTAAATTAGAATTGTATTCTAATGTCTTTTATCTCTTATTTTAGAAGGCCTATCTGATCTCAGAATATCCATATGGTATATATTATGTATGTATAATATATTTTATATATATATGTATATGGGATAAAAGGTATAGTATTTGAGGTTTTGTTCTTAACCATCTGCTCTTATCTGAAAATCTTTAATAGACTTAAATCAACAAATATGATTTTCTCTTCAAAAGTTGTTATAATATTAATTTCTTTATGAACCAAAAGTCAGAGGTCTTTGGATCATTTCTTGCTTAGAGTATGTCCATGAATGTAATATTGACATCTTCTGAAAGTATACAAATCTAGTCAGAATGAGTTAAGGCTCATGAAGCAGATGTTAGGTAGACAGCGAACAGTATCTATTACATGTAATCATTTCAATAGCCAGAGGAAAAGGGGTTGAAGTTAACACTTACTCATGATTACCACCACCATCTCTCACACCAGCAAAAACTCGTAAGAATGTAGGAATGAAAAGAATAGAACTTTAGCCAGATAAAGGATAACCATCAAAACTCCACAATAAAGCCTCATGCTTTTAAAAAGGTTACAGTAGACATACAATATTATATAAGCCCCCTGAGGATAGACATATCTGCCTTGTTCACTATTGTTTCCTTAGAGGTCATTCTTGGAATATGGAAGGTGCCCAGAAAAAGTTTGTTGACTGAATGAATCAGTGGAAGAGAATGAGAAATACTATGTTATTTCCCTTTTATCACGTGTCCTATCTTTTGAAAAATGCTCATTTCCCCCCTTCCATTCTTAATTGTCCCCTGTTTCTGATAGCCTTGTCTTTCTCTATTGCATTACCATAAGGCTCATCTTCCTCTGACACTGCTTTCATAATGTGATACTCCTATGTAAAAACTCTTCAAGGGGATCTTTGTTTCTTACATTAGAAAGTGCAGACTTCTAAGCCTTGTGTTTATGGTTTTTTGTGTTTGGTCTCATCACAGCTATCACACTGTACCTCCAGCTGTTCCCAAACATAATCCCACCTTATAGTTAGGGATTCTTCTTATGGTCCCTTAAACGCAATGTGCTCATCCCCACTTCCATGCATGCTAAC